GCAGGCTAACCGAGGAGATACGCACGAAGCGGGATCAACGCGACAAGAGTGTCGTGAAAGAGTATCGCGAATATCATTTCTACAACCGCCCAACATGGGATATCGAGAGGCAAGCGAACGGCGAAGAGGACGAGGAGTATACTGAACCGGACATCAACCTCCAGATCCCCGAGCGCACCAGACTGGCCCACATCCTCTGCCACCAACCAGCCGACTGCTCTCACGACAAACTCATGGAGCTTTGGATTGAGGCTATCGATCTAATGGTCACACTTTGTGACAAGAGAGAGACAGTCAGACGAGACCGCATCCGTACCCATCCTCAACCCAAGCCAACCATCGAAGAGACTCCCCAACCCAAGCCCTTCCCACTACTCCTTGATCCGAATCAGTGCCCTGATTGTGTTGGGGATTGCAGACTTTCACTAGCAGAACGGGCGTTCAAGTACTGCCGGCCAGCGGTCAGAAATGACCACTTTGACGACCAGCATCTGGTAGAACGAGAGCGTACTGTACAACGTGGCAATCTCATTCGGTGCAACCATCCTCAATGCCAGGATGACCCGAATTTCGCGACACTAGATGCGTTCAGACGGCATGTGCAGACTCTTCATGGCGTTTCGCTGAGGACATCAGGCCAGGTCGAGCAAAGACGATCAAGGAAGGTAAAGCGTAGACGGATGGCTAAAGGGACACAAGGCTAGGCCTAGTCTAGATCACACAGAGTATCTAGTGTTGACGCACAGATAGATATACACAACTGCCTCTTCCATCTCTGTCCTGTGTCTTCAACGCGACAAGATGCTAACTCGTGATCCAAAGGTCTGAACCACTTTGAAGGGGCACCGAGGACAAAGCTCATTGACAGCAGCACAGCAAGCGCCGATTGAGGAGTTATCCGCCGGCGGCGGGTCTTATCACTTTTACTCGGGCTGAACGGGGAGCCGATTTAACTACCAGAAGCATGACTGGGCTGTGAGCGCTTCGCAGACGGGCGCTTTGGGAGATTCTCAGCGGCAGGTTGGTGGGTGGCACGGATGCGGAACACGATGTCCTGTCTGTGGACCCCCGAAGCGCTCGGCCCGGCCATGCCACTACTGTTGGAAGGTTCCACACCCAGGTGGCCTTACCAGTAGCCCACACCGAAGCATCCCGTTTATGGGGACCTCGAAGCCGGTGGGCGCTTCTGCAGCCCGAAGGCTTTGGTAACTCTTACCCGTAAGCCACCCAAGTGTTGTCACTGTACTTACTTGGCAGCTGAGTTCCAGACTAGAACACCTGTAGCTCTGACAAAACAATTGCAGCATTAAGAAAATTGGAAGTGGTAACCGTTCTGGCTATGAAGGCACGTAGCGGGATTCAGTCGCCCGCTATTTATAGACTTGCCGGCGTGCCATTTAGCGGACGAACTGATCGACGGTGGTGTGCGAGATGCGGTCGAAAACCATGAATCGTTGGTCTGAAGTTCAGGCAAAGCGATTCGCACTCTATGGTAATTGGACGAACAGCTTTTTGTCATCTCTGCACCTTGGCTTTTGTCTATTCCAGGAGTAAAGGCTTATGCCCTCCTGCTTTTACCCACAGCATTCCCACAGTAATGAGGAGTTGTTCTAGAACGTGCCCGTGTTGCCCCGTGACGTACATCCGTCAGAACAGGGTCGCAATGATTGCGAGAGTCGACAGCACGCAGACTCTTGGGACAAGCCAGCTTCTGGAAGCGAAGTGACTTGAGATCGGACTTAAGACGGCAACTGACCGATGGAAGATCAAAACTAGATTCGAGAGCAAGGGGTACCATAGCGTAGTGACAGTAAATTCCGGCAAGTCGGTGATCGTGCGAGATGAGGAATGAAGGATGCTGGAAAGATGACTTCCTCGCATTCGACAAGCAAAAAGAGCCCGACAGTGGCCTGCGTGGTAAGTGCTGCGCTGTAGACGTCCTTATGGTTCGCAGTGAAGAGGCTCTCGGGCAGAGGCGCAACGACGTCCCGCAAGACCCTCTGCAAATACACTTACCTGGACACGGTTCCGCGTCTGCACATCAGCTTAGCCACTGTCCTGGACCACTGTCGCCCGAGTGTAAGGGGCTCCCAATAGGCTCACGGGTACCCGTGCATGTAAAATTCCACGGGTACCCCCGTCACTCTTGACCCTGACAACAACCGGTGCTCAACACTCTCCTAGGTCTCCTACGTGATTCGCATGGCTCGAAAAATAGCCATCTCCAGACATCATTCGGAATGAAACAATACCAATACTCTCCGCTTGCGCCAAATCGCCAAATTCGCCTCTTGAAGCTATGTGCCGGAACAGAAGCAGAGAAGCTATCCGGCGAGCTGGTGCACGTCTTCCTCGATGAGAAGCCATCCTTCACCGCGCTTTCCTACGCATGGGGTGATTCGCAGCCGCGAAAAGCATTTTGTTGCTCGAATCTCAAGATGGAGATTGGCCTCAGCCTACACAGCGCCTTGCGCAATCTCCGACAGCCTACCTGCGACACCCTCCTCTGGGCAGGTGCGCTCTGCATTAACCAACATGATATCTCGGAGCGCAGCCAGCAGGTCAGGATGATGAGCGACATATACGCCGCTGCGTTCGCTACAGTTATCTGGCTTGGCGAGGAATCGAGCGACGTCAAGATGGCCTTTGGCTGG